AGGTACTAATTCCGACGTAGAAAGGAGATTTCAACGTCGAGGAAAAATGCTCAGAATGACCATAGAAGAAATTCAACAAAATGAATTGGATTCTGTCGAAGAAATATGAGAATTCAAAACTAAGCTTCAAATACAGTTTGAATATGTAGAAGAAGCTTTTTCTGAAACTCGCAGTGTCCATTTAAAAGCCATTACTAAAGACTCAATAGAAGAACAAATGGAGGACTTCCGAGAAAAATACAGCGTTAACATTGAGAAGTTAACAGATAAATTGAAAAGGTGCACGCCAACACAAGCTGTTTCATCTACTATGAAACTACAGGAGATTAAGATTCCGATATTTTATGGCGAGATGAATCAATAGTCATCATCTAGCGATCTTTTCCAAGGTTTGGTGCATAATTCGAAGCACTTTACTGAAGTAGAAAAGAAGTTCCGGCTGAAGTCGTCATTAGGAGGAGAAGCTGGAAGATTAATTCAGCATTTACCGGTAACCGAATACAACTATGAAGCCGCTTGGCAAATCCTCCAGGAAAGATATGAAAACAAAAGGCTGCAATTCACAACACAAGTAGACAGACTTCTTGATCAACCAACAGCAAATGGGGAAAGTGCGGCAAGCATGAAGCAGCTTTTGGATACCACCAAGGAATGCATTTATGCTCTTAAAGGGCTTAAATTGAATTTAAATGACGAGCAAGCAATTATAGCTCGGATAGTTGTTGGGAAACTAGACAAAGAAAGTCTCCGGTTATATGAGCAGAATGTCAAGAAAACTAGGGATATCCAAAGCCTAGATGATGTTTTCAGTTTTCTGGAGCAGCTATATCAAGCTCTAGAAGCTATACGAGACAGGAAAACAAGTAAATGGAGCAATCAAAAGCAGCCACAACGAGCACCCACATTCTATACAGCTGCACAAAAGACCTGTATATATTGCAAGATTCCTGGGTATCAAATTGTTGAATGCAGAAAATTCCAGGCATTGACTACGATGAATCGTAGAGGTTTCATAGTAAACAATAAGCTATGCAATATTTGCCTCGACCACGTATATGAAGGCAATTGCAAGAATAAGAAAAAATGCAGTAAGTGTGGAAGAAATCATCATAATTTACTGCATTACAATGAATTCCAGAAGGAAAAAGCAGCAGGTGAAGAAAATGCTATAAAAAAATCATCCACTATGATGACAAAAAACTCCGAAACTGCAATACTTCTAGCAACAGCCCAGATAAGAGTGAAGGCGGCAAATGGAGAGTACGTGACATTGCGAGCACTAATCGATCAAGGATCACAGAAGACTACCATTTCTGAAGAAGCCGCTCAAACACTACACTTACCAAAGAGAAGAGAAGTAACTGAGCTACAAGGGCTGGGAAATACTACAGTGGGAGTCTCCAAATTTAAAGTCAACATTGAAATCAGGCCGAGATTCCTAAGCAACGAAGTGTACAATGTCGAAGCACTGATTTTGCCGAAATTGGCGAGTGCACAACCTGATAAAACATTTAAATGGGATATAGAACAATGGAGAAACTATACCTTAGCTGATCCCAACTTCAATAGGTCAGATCGAATCGACGTCGTTATTGGAGGAGATATATATGCTGACATATTAGAAGAAGGCATATTTAAGAAAGATCGAATACTAGGCCAAGCTACGAAATTAGGATGGATATTGTCGGGAGTTTTACAACAACCTAGAAAAAATGGTAGAATTCTAGCGGCGGTGACCACAACGTTGGAGAAGTTTTGGGAAGTAGAAGACACCACAGCACCAACATATATAGAAGATGGTGATGAATGTATGAAGATATTTGATAAAACGACAACAAGAGATGAAAATAATAGATTTGTCGTCAATCTACCTTTTAAGAAAGAAAAAGAGTTAGGCGACTCTCGCAAACAAGCAATGGCGAGGTTTCTTAATCTTGAGAAAAAGTTGGCTTCAGATGACAACCTAAGAAAACAATATGTGCAATTTATGAGAGACTATTTAGAAATGGGCCACATGAAAAAAGCAAGTGGAAATACATGCGGAAAATACTATTTGCCACATCAAGCCGTAATTCGAGAAGGCAGTCTCACAACTAAACTACGAGTAGTTTTCGATGCATCTGCAAAAACTACAAATGGAAGTAGTTTAAATGACATCCTTTTAATAGGCCCGAGACTTCAAAAAGATATATTCGACATAATTATCAAATGGAGACTTTGGCAATATGTGTTAACAGGTGATATTGAAAAGATGTATCGACAAATTAAAGTAGCAGAAAGTGATCAAGATTATCAACGTATATTGTGGAGAGAAGCGAAAGAAGGGCCGATAGGAGAATACAAACTGCAAACAGTTACGTATGGAACAGCATCCGCTCCTTTTCTTGCAACGAGAACTTTACAAGAAATTGCCAAATCCTGCGACCCTTACAATTATTTGCTTTCAAACATCATTAAAAACGATTTCTACATGGACGATTTAATGACAGGAGCAGATTCAATAAATGAATGTAAGGTCATTCAGTTCGAAATTTCGAAACAACTACAAAAATATGGATTTCACTTAAGAAATTGAATGTCTAATAACAGTGAGATTATAGCAACAATTCCAACAAATAGCGAAAATGAGGTAATAAAAATAGCAGATGGGACCCGACCAAAGACATGTTTGGATTTAATATGAATCTTTCAACGGAAAAGCTAGTAACAAAAAGGCAAGCTTTATCTGATTTGGCGAGAATTTTCGATCCGATGGGGTGGCTTTCACCAATGACTGTTTTAGCAAAGTTGTTTATACAAAACCTTTGGTTAATGAAACTCAACTGGGATGAGTTACTCGACGAAAATTTGGCAAAAGAATGGCAGGAGTTTATGCAGCTAGTACCAGCGATAAAAAGAATAAAAATTCCCAGATGGTTTGAAACAAAACCCGACTTTAAAATTGAACTACATGGATTCGCAGATGCGTCAGAAAAAGCGTACGCGGCAGTTGTATATGCTAAAGTTGGATCAGTTATAACGATAATTGCTGGTAAAACCAAAGTGAACCCGATTAAAAATAAGAAGACATTGACAAAACTGGAGCTATGCGCGGCTCACCTACTTTCTAAATTGCTGCAAAGGATAAAGACAGTTATCAATAGAGAAGTTAAAATATTTGCTTGGTGCGACTCATCTATAACGTTAGCATGGATAAAGAATTCCCGAAGTAAAGATAAGTTCATTAAAACGAGAGTAGAAGAAATCAAATTATATGCTTCCACTGCAATATGGCAACACGTTGAAACAAAGGACAATCCAGCTGATGTAGCATCCAGAGGGGTATTTGCGAACAAACTAGTGAAGCACGAGCTATGGTGGAGAGGTCCCAAATGGTTACAAGGAGAAGAACATCAATGGCCAACACAGAATAGCGTTAAAATCGATGCAGTGTATGTCACAACATCAAAAGAACCACATTTCTTAGATGAGGTAATATTAAAATATTCTAGTTTAACCAAATTAATAAGGGTTGTGGCTTATATATTGCGATTTATAAAAAGAATACGAGGACAAAAATATCCTGCGTACTTAGTAAAATCAGAACTAAAAGAAGCTGAACAGAGAATAATAAGATATCAGCAAAGATTAGAATTTAGAGAGGAAATACAGAGCTTAGAAGTCAAAAAATAAATTAGCAGTACAAGTAAAATTGCAAGCTTAGATCCAATTTTAGATAACAATGGAATCCTTCGCGTAGGAGGTAGGTTAGGGAATGCAAAGCTTCAGTTCGATCAGAAGCACCCAATAATATTAAATAAATCACATTTGTCAAAATTTATTATTGAACATGTTTATAAAACAACCTTACATGGAGGAAATAAGTTAATGGAAGCAACGATTAGACGGAATTATTGGATTAAAGAATTCCATAAAAAAAAAAAAACATTCGAGCTTGTAGTCGCTGCATACGTTACCGAAAGGAAGCAGCTAAACAAATAATGGGAAATCTTCCAGAATTTCGAGTGTCGTTGTCAATTCCATTCTCACACATTGGTGTAGACTATGCAGGTCCAATACATATGAAATGTTCCAAAGGAAGAGGAATAAAAACTTTTAAAGGATACATAGCTGTATTTGTATGTATGGCAGCAAAGGCTATTCATTTAGAGGCAGTAAGTGATTTAACAACTGAAGCGTTTCTAGCTGCTTTAAAAAGATTTTTTGTTAGAAGGGGTAAGAGTCAGCATATGTACTCAGACAATGGAACAAATTTTGTCGGAGCTTGTAGAAAGTTAGACTTAGATTTCAAAAAGGCAATCAAGAAAAACTCAACAGTAGCTCCCATATTAGAAGCAGACAAAATTCAATGGCATTTTGGGCCGCCGGCAGCTCCTCACTTCGGAGGAATTTGGGAGGCTGGAGTCAAATCAGTGAAATATCATTAAAAAAGAGTGATAGGCGAAAGTAAATTGACATTTGAGGAGATGATTACTTTGCTATCACAGATTGAAGCAGTGCTAAATTCACGACCCTTATGTGCGATCGATAGTGAAAGCGATATAGATGTTTTAACACCAGGGCATTTTTTAATAGGATGCCCATTAATAGACTGTCCTGAAGCAATTGATAACACAACAAGGGGTTCATTAGATAGGTGGAAACTAATACAAAAAATGAAAAGAGACTTTTGGAAACGGTGGGAAAGCGAATATGTCACAATGTTGCAACAACGAATGAAATGGAAAACCAAACAGGACAATCTAGAAGTAGGTCAAATAGTAATTATTAAAAATGAAGAAAGTCATCCAGCAAAGTGGCCATTAGCCAAAGTTATAAAAACCCATCCTGGAAGCGATGGAAAAACCAGAGTTGTAACTCTGAAATTGCAAAATGGGATACTTAAATGGCCCGTTCACAAACTGTGCCCACTAGAGACAACAAACAGCAGCAAAACGGAAGAGCCAAATCAAGCTGCAAGCCTGTTGACATCAAGAATAGCAAAAAATTCAGCGGGCCCAGGAGGGCAGAAAAGAACGAAGACATTGATGATGTGGTTCTTTACGTTGCTCTTGCTAGCAATGCAAGTTAAGACATTATACATAAATGATACGGCTAAAACAGGAGCGTCAGTGGCTGAGCTAAGAAATAATACCGCAATATATTTGGATCCGATCGGCAAAATAGACATAATAAATTCAAAATGGGATTTAATCGTTTATTACGAGTTAGGTTCCTATTACGATCGGATGGATGGAGTAAAAGAATTTATTAACAGACTTGAACATCAATGCAAAATATTGACATATTATGAAGAGGCATGTGTAATGATTACCGCAACTTTAAAGCATAAATATAATAGCCTTAAGTCAAATAACGAACTGTTCATGAAGCAAGAAAATAGAAAAAGACGAGCACCATTCGAATTTGTTGGCTCAATTTACCATATATTATTTGGAATTATGGATGCTGACGACCGAGAGAATATGGAATCAAATATTAAAAATATTTTTGAAAACCAAAAGAATATCGCAAAGTTGTTTAAGAGACAGGCATCAATAGTTGATTCTACAATAAATATATTTAAAAAGACAACCGATGAAGTTAACCAAAATTTTCAAAAAATGAATGAACAGCTAAATAAATTTTATCATGAACTAGTTAAAGATCAAAATGCCGAGCGAATGACCTTGATGTTTCAGATATTAACCATTCAAATAGGAATAGTTATGGACGAATGTGAAGATATCCAAACTTCTATAATCAATTTTTTAATTGACATAAAACATGGTCGCATAAATCCAAAACTAATAAAACCTTCATAACTTAATAAAGAAATTGCACTTATCAGAAAGAAGCTGCCACACAAATTAGTACTACCTGAAAACAGTTCGGTAATGAATTAAAAGAAATCTATAAATCGATGACTGCTAAAGGGTTAATTGTCGATTCACGACTAGTCATAAACATAGAAATTCCCTTAATATCATATGAACCGTCAGATGCATACAAATTAAATCCACTGCCAATAAAATACAAAGGGAATATGATTATCCCTGATATAAAAGCAGAATATTTAGTATACAAGTTTGATTTAAATCAATATGTATTGATAAACCAAGTCGATCTAGATAAGTGTTAAACAAACTTGGAAGATCATTATCAATGTCCAGGGAACTGGGCTTGGAAGTCAGCTACGGACAATTCATGCGAAGTAGCAGCATTGAAACAGTTGGAAAATGAAGTATGTGGATTCAAGCCCGCTACAAATGAAAATGTTTGGATTAAATTATCTTCTCAAAATCGTTGGCTTTAGAAGTTGTTTAGCAAATCAACAATACATCTAGAACGTGATAACAACCAACAAATGCGAATGGAAATCCCTAGTCAAGGCATTATCACAATAAGAGAAGGATGTACAGCTCGACATGAAGGAGTAACTTTAACAGCATCTCATCACGTACAATCCGAGATCAATAAAGAATTGCTATCTTCTTCTTGGGTAAAAGACATTAAAGATATTTCAGAACTGCGAATTAAACCTTTTGATTCGACCTTAATAAACAACACCAGAGATATCCTAACGCTCAAACAGCAAATAGAATTTCTCAAAAAAGAAAATACCGAATTGAAGGGTATCAATTTTCATCACGTTAGTGGTCATGCTTCGCTAACTTTAGTTTTCATAATAGGGTTAATCATCGTTATTTTATATATAAGATCAAAATGTAAAAGAAGAACTGTTGTGGCTGTTCCATTTGAACTACCAGTTAGATATAATCATAATTAAGTAAAATGTCAACAATCACATTTGGCTAATATGTTAAAACAACACAATTTTGGCCCCTGGCAGAATGTTCATAAAAATATGAACATAAAACTCTGCCGCAATAGAGATAGGATTTTAGAAATATAACACATTCATACATACATATGCAAACATACGTAAACCGATGAAATAAACAGGAAAAATATACAGTCCACTAAATGTCAAATGCAATGATAAGCAATAGAATTGTAATGTGACCCTTGCTCATAAAATATGTGAAAATTGCTTATCTGAACAAAATACATAAATTACAGTGTATACAGGAAACATAAAGATAATATACCAATGCACACAAGCAGCAACTGACAGCCGATCATCAATTGTTTTAATACGTGCGTTAGATGCACTTAAGTCAACAGTGAACCTAAACAAATATAAAAGATCAATACGTTGGTCTTTTATCTCTTACTAGGATTTACCGATTCTGCATAAGACACATACATTTTAGTGCACTTGAAATGCATTGGTATCGGAAGATAAGAATACACATTTACGCATGTACACACACCCACACACATATACGTAGTTAAGGAATTAGTATTAGAAAATGTTTGTATATAAGAAAGAAATATTCAATAAAGAGGTCAGATTAAATACAGCAATCTCACGGTGTACATTACGTATTTTTGTGATCTTCACTATCCCCCCACCCGAGGTAAGAAGTGAAGTTGATCAAAAGTATAATAGTCTTGTACATTTGGT